TTGAGACCACTAGACCTTTCTTAGTTATATTAAGCCAAACTGAGAGAGCCCCTCCAGGCACATGTCTGAGAGAATTCAATGCCAGGACTTCTATACAGGCTCTCTGCAAGGCAGAAAGCACTACAGAAACACTAATTATCTTACTTTCCCTTAGCCAGATTATTAGAGCTCCTCCTCATTGGCCAGGGTAAGACTTAAATGTACTGTACAGCTTGTGAACATTAATTACATCTCAGATAAAGCAATATCAAAACAAAAGCAGTGCAATAAAGGTTGACTTTATTCTGGTGTAATTCTAATAGTAAGAGCTTTCTTAGCCTTAAAATCTCTGTATCATGACAAAGTACTCAGCACTGATGGCACTACAATAACACTTAATACAGGTGAAACCAAGACATACCTGGTTATAAAGGTCTCTTTAGAAAAGAATGTGCATGGGTTCAGTCAGTGGAGCTCCTACCCTGAGCACTGAACCAGCTGTGGTCAGGCAGACACTGCCAGCCCTGCAAAATGTGCTGCCACCACTTTGGAATAGAAGCAGGGGTAGGAAAAGTGAAACCACGCAAAATTCTTCTTTGGGTACTGTCTTCCCTCAGCATTTCTCCTCCCACTCACCACCACCCAGCTAGATAGCCACTTTCTTTCACAGCTGCTCATCCCATCTGCTCTGGTACTGTCTGCACTTGTCTCTTTAACCCCTGCACCCACAACTGCTCCTAACTTCACTTCTTTCCATACAATTTCTTTTTCTGTTTTGAGCAGATACTCCCCCAGACAAAAGAAACACTTTAGTGTTGCCAGTTGGCATTTTATTTCTATACCTATCTCCACATCCCATCCACAGCAAAAAGGAAGAATAGAAGATTAATCTCCCAGAAACATCTTTGCCAGCCATACATTCATCTCCAGTGATACACTGTGTGCTCCCTCCTTCCACTAATTCAAAAACAGAAAGAATTTACAGGGGGAAAAATGAATTAACTTATGAGACACTGAAAAGCCATGCAGAAAATAGCGAGCTTTCCATGTTCACCTGACAAAGGAATGAGAAACAGAGGATTTAGAGAACAGAAGCACTAATCCAAGCAGGGGAAAAATAAAGCAACATTAGTTGGAAAAGGCCTGGTGGATTGAAAGCACAAATAAAGACACCAATGAAGGAAAGAAACACAGAGATGATGTGACAGAAGGAATACAATCCAACCAGCAATATTTTGCTCTTAAGAATAAGTTCTTTAACAAAGAACTTATGATGCATGATTAGGAAATGCAAAATAAGACAGCAAGCATGTGGAGGTAAGTGGAGTTTGCTGGATTATTGTACTGTGCAAAGATGACAGTATACAGATCCCATGACTTCCCCCAACTGCAGCTGGTACAACTGCTAGAGCCATATACTGATCAGCTAAGCCAGCTTGCAAGGGCCCCCCTCCTCCCTCAAATCAACATTACCTCAGGCATCACCCTCATAGAACTACACTGCTCCCTTAGTCCGTAGCAGCACAGATGACTGCACCACTGTCCTTTACACAGCAATAAAGTCCCTGCCTGAAGACAAAGGCAGTTGCTGTGATCTTCTGTAATCCCAGCTGAATCTGAACAACATATTATATACCTGTAATACATATAAAAAATCAGGTCTCCTTTTAAATTACCTAATCTGGAAGGGATATGGATCAAACCCACATGGACTTCAGAGTTATGCTTGTGATAGTGATTCACATCCACTATAGGATGTTCCTAAAAATAGCTGCTTGCCTTAATTTCCTTTTCCCAAATAATTTTAATGAAATACAAAACATCTTCATGCAAGAATTATATATGCTATAGCCACATAAGTATTTTGATTGGCTACCTAAGCTTTCCAAAAGGCAGTTTCTATTTAAAACTTGACTTGTATTGAATATCATGCTTAAGTTTAAATTAATTTGGAGGTCAGTCACATTCTTTGAGAAAAAATGAAAAGTCAAGATTTAAGCAAGTTTGACCAAAAAATCTGCTTTTCATCTCACAGCTAGTTCTATTCCTCAGAGTTTATCTTCCTTTGACCACAGTATTTTATTAATACTGCTCAGCTGGAAAAGAAGTGATATTATAATCATTAGCATGCTGTCAAAATTTGAAAGGACAGCCCACTCCCCCCAAAATGTTTTGTGAACTACAATGAGGTTCACAGAACTGCCAAAAGAAAAGCATAAGTATATGCAAGCTGTGGTCTTTTAGGTGTCTACTAACAAATATAATACACACTGCATTAACTAAAATGAAGATTCACCAAGACAAGAAAGAGCCTATCAAGATGCTTATGCTGAAGGTTTGGGTAATTTCCATGAAAATCCATTCATTTTTATAAGCAAATTTACTTTAATTACACATTTAACTTAACTGCCATGGATATGAGGATAACTGTATTTTAGTAAAAATTGGCTTTGAAGGAAACGAAGAAATTTGAAATTCCATGTACAAGGATTCCAGTGATTTCAAATTCACTCAGTAGCGTCCACGAACTCCTGGCATTGCAATATAAAAGACTCAAAAAGATGGATTACCTCAGCAATTCATCTGAAAGAATGCAGCTCTGAACTGAAGTACTTGCCATGAGTTCATATCTTAAAACACACTCTTTCAACCAAACTGAACCATGATAAAAGATGATCAGATCCCAAATGGAACTGAAAAACAGCAAAATATATTTAACCAATAACCCAGTGCAAACTACTTCAGTATTCCTGGGCGTTATTATAGCTCTGTGATAAGGGCTTTATAAAAAAACAAGAGCTAAAACTCTAGACTAACTAAGTAATTTTACAGGGTAACAGACTATCTCAATTTATGTAGGATTTTGGTCTCAAAGTTTTCACGAAGATTAGCCTACTAATTTTCATAATTGTTGGCAAAGTTCTGTCCAGTGGTACAAGCTGGTCGGATATACATGCGTATCTCCTACATGTGCTGAACCAATAGACTTAAGCATAACTACAAGGCCCTAGTAATCAATAATTCTTAACAAAAGAATACTTGGATTTTCTGTTCAGATTCCAGGTAAATCGAAAGTCTTGAAAGCAGTTTTGAAAAAAAAAAACACAAGAACAGCAGAAAGCTATCTGTTGTTTTACAAGACATAAGTGTGCCTCTGTTTTCAAGGCACCAAATGTTTTCAAGCAGCAAAAGTCTACAGAATATGAGCTCTAAACAATACTACAGTAAAATGAGTTATGAAGGAAGTAGGTTGCATGTTTCAAATTGATGGTCCTGAGTTCCATCCCCAACCTTTCAAATACCTGGTTATGCCAATAGTGGTGATAAGATGAGGAGTAACAGTTTCAAAACAAAAGGGGGCAGGTTCAGATTAAGTGTTATGAAGAAATTCTTGACTCTGAGGGTGGTGAGATACGGGAACAGGTTGCTCAGAAAAGCTATGGATGACCCATCCCTGGAAGTGCTCAAGGCCAGGCTGGATGTGGTTTTTGAGCAACCTGGTCTAGTGGAAGGTGTGCTTGCCTGTGGCACAGGGGTTCAGAACTAGATGGTCTTTATGGTCCTTTCCAACCCAAACTGTTCTATGATCCTATGACGATTACTTAAGTCTCAGCTGTTCCCATATCATTATAGGTTAAAGCACCTCAGGAGAACCACTTCCTAGTCATACTTTCTCCTTGTGTGGTGCCAGAGAGTACTGTCATAGTCTGCTGGTTACGGCAGAAAGGGGCTGAAGAAAGGCCTCCAGTGTCCTACTCAACTGTTCCAATAACAAAAACAAGACTTATTTGTTGATCCCTTCAGGACAGCCTAAATGAGCCTAAATGTCAGTGCTTCCTGGGTCTGCCTTCTATCAGCACAGCCTCAAATCCATGCTAGGACTCCGGTGGCAGCACAAAAAGCCAGATCAGTGAACTGTTTTGGCTGAAAACTCACCACATTTCTGGTTATTTTTCAGGTCAGTTTTCAGCCAGATCATATGGCTTTACAGAGCTGATGGCTGGCACAAGGAAGGTCAAGAACACCTTTGGCTCAGAGAAGGTGGATCAGCTCCCTCCATTACAGCACAATGCTCGGGCTGGCTCAAAGTGTTTAAGGAGATATTTCCTGATATGAACAGTCTGCAGCCATTCCTCAAGCCCCCAGGCTACAGCACAAAATCATACAGCATTTGCTGGAGTATAAGGTGAACACTCCTTTGCCCAGGCTCACAGCTCAAACTGTTGTCTGGTCCTCTACTTCCAGAACTGGCTCTGTTTTGTTATTCACAGTAACTAAGTAGGAAGGCTTTTTCTGCATGTTCACCTGAAAATCAAGATGACAGCGCTGTAAAATATTCTATTAAGCTGACAGCATTTCTCATGTATGTTTTGGCTTGTTATACAGTTCTGAGCTTGATATTTGTACACAAAACCAAAACTGACATAAATAAATAAAGGATTTTCTCTCTTGTTTTTTTTTTTCAAGGCATAACTCCTGGAATCATGCCATAGTTGCAAAAAACACCTTCAGAAACTTAGGACTTCCATCAGCCTCAGGAAGCAGATAGGTTGCAAAGTCCTGTTCCTGGGCAAAAGATCTAAGAGAGAAACTGCTATATCAGCCTTCTGAGCTACTACACAGCACACCAAGGGACACGTCAGTAGCAAAGGAAGGAGACTGGAAACCTTACCAGTATTGCCACTTTAATAATCTCATGAACGCTGGTAATGAAAAGGCTACAGGAAAAACAAGAAAAAACTTCCCCAAAAAAAACAAAGTGTAGTTTAACAGCATATTTAAAAGTTTAAAACTTCATCAGATAACCACACCTACTAAGCTAACCATGTACAAAAGGCAAAAGACAAACTCAAAATGTTAGACAAACCTCGAGGAAAGGTCCCAAACAATACACATAATCATTAAATAGACAAGCAAATTTTTAAAATATTAATCAAGAATATATTTAAAATATTTGCTGGTACAATCCCTTTAGGGTTTTCAACATAATGAAATGTTTTTGGTACATTAGAAATACTTACAACTACTCCACTCTTGGTGACAGTTTCCCGGTATGTAAAATTGCACACTGCCCAAGCCAGGTAATAGGTGGACATGAGAGGGGTCTGTGAAAAGTGATCTGTAACCCATCCATCTTCTTCAAAAACAGAAGTTTCAACTGGCATGTTGGACAAAGATAAGTAAGTAGCTTGATGTCTGATGCTGATTTTGAATGTGGCCTTGTAGATGGGCTCATCAAAGCAAGGAAAGGCTTTTCTGGCATGAGTAGGAGAAAACTGTGTAACACCAAGAAACCTAGAAAAGCAGAAAACAAAAATAAAAATTGATTATTAATTGTGCCTAGCACTTGATTCACAGACATACCAAATAAGACACTGCTTGACCATTGTGGTTTAAAGGAGGAAATAATTACAACTGTAATACACAAAATATATAGTGTTTGAACACTGCTTGATCATTTTCTTACTACATCTACTGCAATGCAATAGATACAAATTAATGGTCTACAAACTTCCTATAAATTTATAGACACCACAGTAACACTAAAGAAATCAACCCTCGCCTTGCATCAAACTTCAGGTTCTCGCAGTATTGCTCATCAATATGTGTGGAAAAAAGCAATCTACTGTTGGCTACACAATGCAAAACAAGCACACTCAGTTCAAACCAGGATTGAAGAGCCTGCAGGGAATTCACTCTGTCCTGAGACACCGACAGGGCGCTTTACCTTTCTCTGGGCATGAGAACTTACGGTCACACAGCGCACTCAGGAGGGTCATTGCTTTCCACAGCTGATTACTTCTCTACCAGCTGCACGTAGGCCTGGGACACAGTACCACATAGCACTGCTGTGTCTGTGCACCCTCCAAAAAAACCATTCTGTGAGCTTAGCAGAATCACAAATGAAAGCAAATTATTAAACCTGCATAAAGTATTTCACCATTCTTCTACACGTGCTTTTTTTTTCTTCCTGGTGTACTTTATAGAGAGCAAATCCATGTTCTCAGTTAATGGGCCTAAATTTTGGAAAGATCTTTGAAGGAGGTAAAGGTATTTATTAAGCATGAATGGGAAGGCTTTAGCTTGACAATAAAACCTGTAACTTTTTTTTTTTTGAACTAAATAATTTTTGATCCAGATACAGAATAGGAAGCCTCCTGAATGGAGACACGTATTTACACATTTGGAAAAAACCCATGATCTTTTTGTAGAAAAAATAAGGTAAACTTAAAAGGTTGAAATATGGAGTTTGGTAAGAGTATTTTCTGGAGGCATGTAGAATAAGAAAATTACCATGGGCCAACCATGTAAATGTGAAGGTAGCATGCATGTAGGCTTTTTGATTCATGTCTCACCTTCCAAGGTTTCATCTGTGGAAATAACTGAGCAATTTTAGATACCAGACAAACATTTATCAAGATTTTAGAGGCTGGCTGTAATTCAGCTGTTATTCCTCTGAGGGAAAAAGATGGGTGAATAGCTTTGATGTAATGAAAATGGTGATACCTATTATTAATCAGTATATAACTAATAATCTGCAATATGATACTCTAACATTGATAAAACAAAAACATAGGTACCCCATAGGGAAAAAAAAATATCGTTAACTTTTTTTAAAACTTTTTGGATTTTACACATATTTTGGAGGCAATGAAGAAATAATTTTATTGAAACATTACACCTTTTTCTTGCTAGAGTGCCTGATAGAACTAGATATATGTTTTCAATAAGGATAACTTTTTTAAAACTTGAAAAAATTTTCCACCACTGAAGCAGTTACCATTAGTCTTCTTTCTAAAATAAAAAGCCTTTTTTGGCTAATAATTATTGAAGGTATTCACATTTTTCTTGCCTCATGAAAAAACATGGATTATTAAAACCAGCATTTTGGATAAGATTGCTAAATCTAAAGTAAAAAGTTAGTGCCAGATATCTCAGTGTTAATCCAAAAAACTCCCATATCAATGGATTTGTACTACTGCAACAAAGCCAAATCAGCCAATTAAATGAAGCAAAGCAACTTAATTTATATGCAAAGTATTTCAAGTGGACCTGATTCTGCATTCTAGGCACATTCTAAATAGCTACAGACATCAACAGAGGCTTCAAGTGAGCATGGAAAACTGTACTGGCCTGTTATTAACAAAGCAAGAATGATGAACTTTCCTCTGCAATTAACAATTTTAATGAGCTCCGACACACACGTAAATGCGTACTTAGGAAATATTGGTCATACTGTGATACCCTCTAAATAAGGAAGATTTCCCGTGCCCTCTCTTCACATCTTCACCCCACTTCTCAGAGACCTTATCAGTCATCTTTTAATACATATTAGGCCACTGAAACAATCCCTTCATCAGGCTAATAAACCCTGGTAAACTCTTCATCTTCTGTGTTTTCACAGAGAGACAGATATATCCACATAGACGTAACTGGGCAAACACAGAGCAGTCAATATTTCATACTAAAAATACACCAACTACCAATAATAGTGATATCTACAACATGTGCATTACTATCAAACATCGATTTGCTTGTTGTGCCATAAAGCAAAACAAACAAAATCTTAAAACTGCTTTAAAAAAAACCCTAACCATTTAAAGAAAACAAACAAGCTAAACCTAAAACATTGTTTATCTATTTCACTCTGTGTTCAAGTAAAACAAGCAGACTTCTACAGCGTGCCAAAAGTGAAGGGCAGTTTGACTATTTCATCCTTCCCTTTACACAGCTCTCTGGGTACCAACACTTTTACCTCCTGTTGCCAAAATACCACCACAAAAGGTTGTACTTGAGGGCATGATGGGCTCAGTCTGTCTCCTCAGAATACCCATGGCAGTAACTTGCAGGTGTTTTAATTTTATCATGTCTATTAAAGGAAGATGTGTTTCCTCAATAACCTATTTTGACATCTTAGTTGTTAGAAGATTAAAGAATACGTCTTTGTTTTCTCTGCATGATATAAGAATTTATTTTTCTTTTCACCTCCAAACTTTGATGTTCATTTATATTATGCCTTCATACTCCTCCTGTAGCTCTGTATTATATTGCTGTTAATTATTGTCAGCAAATTCTAGCACATAATGCAAAGTAAATTTGTAGCATATCACTTGCATTTTACATTTCAAGTACAGTAAGAAAGATCTCAGTCAGAAAATAAACACTTTAACATAGCTTTTACCTTTCGATTTACAACGATCACCTGTGAAGGCCAGAGAAACTAACTTTTGGGGAAAAAATCATAAAGTGAAGGCATTAATATGTTTGTGATGCCTCCCAGCAGAGTTATTTGCTCCTCGTGTACAACAAAAGTGAAAAATGATGGTTTGGACCCTTTTACAGCAAGTACTACTCCAATGAGGCTGATGTACTTTAATTGAATATAAAGTTGTCAAAAAATCAAAGCCCTGCTGGAACAGCAAGGTCTCCCAGAGCATGCAAGTCTGTCTGTCTATCATAACAGAAGCTGTCTGTGTTTGAGGACTAAAAACAGTTATAAGTATCATATTAAAAATGGGTTATTATTCGGAATGCAAATTGTTACTGTAAGAGCACTCTCTGATCAAAAAAGTTCCCTGGTTTAGAATGGGTATTATTCACTTTATACTATAGTGAGTCATTAAGCCTCTGACAGATGAAAAGGAAAAACACTTTTTCTATGTAACACCTTAAACTACAACCAAGCAATGACTACAGTTATAAAAATGTTTTACTGAAGGAAATATAAGTGAGCTGGTGTAAAGGAAAAACATGCCACTGATTTCAATATAGCAATGGTACCTGATGTAAGGCAAGTAATTTGCCCATGACTATACTTAAGTGTATTAAAAACTAAGTAATTTATATCTGAAAACTTACACACGGAGCACTGCGAAAAACATTTTACCATCACCTTCCACTCTGTGTCTTAAACTATCCTGATGACTGAAACAGTGAATAGACCTTTTTTTTGTTGGTGATGATTTCTAAATCTCAACTAGGAGATCAGTATTGAAGTGTAGTACAGTAGCTCTGGAGAAATGTCACTGCCACACCTATTTGACAGTTCAATTATTCCTACACAAAGTCAAAGTACACGAGAATAATAACTGCTTAAATAACTTCTCAGATTTGTAAAGTGAATTATACCCCCTGCTGTTAACAGTATTTTGTTTTCTCATTTGCCCATTTCAACACAGGTCTGTAAGAACTCCCTATTACCCCAACAATTCAGTCAACTGTGACAAAAGGCATTTTATCCACATCTTTTCTTACAACTGTGCTTTTTCAAATTTCCTTTTTATTTCACACTGATGACAAATTGCAAAAACTTAATTTCGATCCTGCTTGAGGTTCTAATATCAGGCTTTTGAAAATTGTCAGTAATCATAGTAATGAAAATATGTTTTAATAAAAGGGCTTTTGGCTTAATTGAGTTGGTGAGGATGCTTTTCATGTCTTAATATTCTTGCCCGGTTCTACCAACTATAAAATCTTTGTTTCATTTAAATTGTTTCCACAATCTAAAACACTAAGATTCAGGAAAAGAAAACCTGTCACTGCACAGATATTTCAAGAAAGGACAGCTTAAAAATAATCCAATTCTAAAATTACAAACCATGCCAGAACTATCAAGAAGTCCATCCTTGCCTTTCTTTTCCATTACAAAGCCGCAATGTGGTGAGAAAACACCTTCTTTAAAAACAAAGCCTCTGTAACTGAACGGGGCCCTCCACAATAACCCTGCCCACCAGAACAAGGGCCCAGACAGGGACCCAAGGGGCTTTAACTACGTGAGTAAATACAGATCAAGACTGAATCTTGCTCTGCCCGCAAATGAAGCAGGTTAGTCGGGTCACAGGGTGTAAATCTGCCGCGACCCAGCTGTACCGTAAACGCATTCAGCGTATGTGAAAACTCATCCCACCACGTTTTTTGCTTTACCAAACAGAATAAAAGCAAAACAGAAGTCTCGCTGCCCTACACGCGGCTATTTGTAACCTGACGAGGCTCTGTCATACCAGGGCACACAGCAGCCGAACACAGTGTCTTTGTGTGAAACCGACCCGGAGCCTCTGCCTTGACAAGGACCTAGCGGACGTTCTGCCTCAGTGGCGGCACCCTCGCAAGTTTGCTCCTTGCCACCGTCCGTCCCCAAGCTGCGCC